AAACTAATATGAGTCGGGGACTACCCCAGTAGTCTCATTATCTCTAATTGGATGTTTTCTCTCATGAAGTAGCCAGTGTTAGCTTTTAGTTTGGTGAGGGAAAAGATCTCGTATTGTTCCCCAGTTTTCCCTCATTCCTGGGAACACTTGGCAGGATGGTGAATATCTCCAGCAGCCAAGCTGTCAAACAAGCTTTCCCTTTTCAGAAGAGATTTTTTCCCAACACTATCCAGGCCAGTTTTGATTCTGTCTCCCACTCAACACCTCCCACTCCTGAGGCAGAGCTGGTCCCAAGAAGCCCTCTGGCAGACTGAAAGCCCTGACTGCTTTCTGCCTGGGTGACTTCCTGTCTCCAGGGCTCTGTGCCTACATTTACACCAGCAGAAATCAGCACAACTCAGGTTTAATATAGCTCAAAGCAGACATAATTTTGTGCTGGAACAGTCTGGAATGGCTTACCAAACTATGGTTTTGGCCGTATGTACCAATGTTTCACACTCCTCCTACAAAAAATAAGCTTTGGCTCACAATGCTATCTATTTTTACCCTATATTTAGCCTGTTTTAGAATTACACTGGCTAAGCAAAACCACTTTTTCTCTTCTCCCATCTCATCAGTCTACAATCTCTATCCAACAGAAGTGAGCAGGGAAGTAAAGATTTCTTTTAAAATAGCAATAAGAAATTGACGGTTTAACAGAGGCATTAAAGATATTAATGATGTAAACAGCTTGACAAATAAGGGATGATTATTTTCTTCTCCACAGGCCAAAGTACAGCGGTGGCGTCCTCCCAAACACTGCTCAAGAAGTTTAATTTCTATTTTAGGAGATATTTGACAGAAAGGATTTTATTTTTACATTATCTAGGGGAAGTGGATATGAGGGTTTGTTCTGTCCTTGCTCTCCTTGATTGCCCTGCTGCCTTTTTATTGTACTGTTTTATTACATATGCTCAGACACCTGAGAGCCCTCAGGAGTTCTGTGTCTAATGTCATCAATATTTTCCACTTTTATTTTAAGGTGTGGTACACCAAACACCACTTGAACAATTGATGCTTAGTGTCTGTAACGTATAAATAAGAAAACTGCTGAAGAGCACTGTGACCTGGAAAAGCTGCAGACTGAAATTGAAACGTATATCTGCTTTGGGTTCTTCTGCAGCTCTCTAAAGTCCAGCTTCTAAATTACAGTGACCCTCTAGTTCACGTACAGTGAGGTAATAACAGCAGAGGTTAAGATATACCAGCAGTATCCTGGAAGAAAAATCTTTGCATCAGAGGAATGATAGGCTGAAATTTCACTTGAATGTGCATAAGGGATGCATCCCTCTTTCCTTCCCCTGGCCACATCTGCCCTTGTGTCTAGTGAGCAAGCAATGGCTGCAGTGAAGCCAATTACTTCAGCAAGCTCATCTGACACAAGGCAAGTGAACCAGCAAAAACGAAACTTTTCTGTTGGATTTGTTTGCTCACCTGATTCATTGTGTGCTCTCAGTTATGTAAATAGGAATGAGATAGAGTGCATGGCCAAGGAGAGATGGGGGAGGCTGCTCTTTTCAGCATTAGCTCACAGCCATACCAAATTGCTTGAAACACAAAATCATGCACTGGGGGCATGGTTTCACTAGATGAAGTTGGGTGACATAATATTTACAGGAACATCTTCCTCCTGCTCCTGACTATGTGCCCAAGAGCAGGTTTCACTCTCTAACTCAGAAGAAAAAATATTCACCATGACCATCACCAAAATTAGTTTTTGGTCTTGTTATTGAGTTGAAGTAGCTCGTGGAAGCATACAACAAACACCGAAAAGGATCTAAGGGAGGGTGAAAATCTACGTATGAGAGATGAGTGAGCAACATTTCTGCTTCTCAGAGCTGGTGAATGATGAGATCAGCTCAGCTGGTCTTGGGTCAGCCTGGTCTAGTGGTTGGCAACCCTGCACATAGCATGGGGGTTGAAAATAGATGATCATTGTGGTCCTTTTAAACCCAGACCATTCTGTGATTCTATGATTCTATCAAAGTCATTTTGCTCTGCAGATCATCATTTCCCATTCTGGAAAAGAGAAGACTCAACTAAACAGGATATAAAAAAAGCTTCACTTGTGTTAACAGCTTGTTAATAATACACAATATACCATTGAAAAGACTATCTGAAATCAAAGAGCTCTGAAATGTCTAATAAACTCACTGTGCATGGAAAGCTATCTTCATGGCCACACAATTAAAATCTTCTCAGACTACTGAGGAAAAATAGGGAACGATGCTTAGCTATTCGGGAAATGCATCAGGCTTTAAAGGAGCAGATCTGGCTCAGTACCAACACAACTATGAAAAAAAGTTTACTCAGGGGAAAGAAATCCAAAAGCTCTGAAGAACTGAGGAAACAGAGGAACCTACACTGGGGAAACAGATGCTCTGTTGTTTCGTGTGGCTGTTTCAGAAGTCCATTCAGCAAATCGTCCACTTAGTGTTAAACAAGTGGGCCATGGGGCAGGTTTAGGGTGCAAGCCCATTTAACCCAGCTTTCCCCTTTGTCCAGAAGGAGATGACCCCTTTGCCAAAGTCTGAATGACTCTCTCTGTTTTAACACAGGCAGGCATTTCTCAATGCCTCTGGCCTCAGCCCGTCCTCCCACGTAGAGGCAGGATCTCAAGTTCAGCCTTTGCCTGGGAACCTGCACTTCACATCCTCTACTGCATCCCAGAGCAAGGAGAGGGAAAGGATCAGACACCAGAAAAAAAGCAAGATGAACGTGCTGCCTAGAGGAGGGTCAGCAGCATGGGAAGCGAGGGGGGAGGGTGGCTGCTCCAGAGAAAGCCTGGTGGCACTGGCCTGGCTCATAGATGCACTGTTATCAAAAGGGATGGAGGTAACTGGCTCCTGGATGCAAGGAGGGAAAGATAGCTTGCAGGAACCTCCTATGCCCTTGGCCTGTCAAGTTTGGGCATCCAATTAATGCTATAAGTTTTAACTCTAGCATCATGGCCCTGAAATGTGTTAGAAATACATCAGGTCTAAATAATTCAGATGTCAAAATGAATGTGAGGAAGAAAATGATTTAGCAGAAGGATTGCTTTATTTTCTGAAGTTGTTGTTTTCTTTCTGTTCATGCACCCATACTGACACTCTAACAAATCAGTGAAGTGGATGCACAACCAGACAGCATCGCTGATTACATCTTTCCCTGAACAAAAACAGTGAAATACTAGGGAACAAAAAAAGAGCAAGAAAAAGTTATTTAAAGAGTAGAACTATTTGATGAGATTTTATCCGCTATGTAGCTTAAAGAGAATTCCCAAACTATCTACAATCAGGACTCTGAGGGTTGTTGTACATTGCAAATGAATTTTAAATAACTCTTGTTGGCGGTTATCTTCATCTCAGGGTTGCCAAATCTCACTACTTCATCATGAATCTCATAACGCTGAATTGTTTATTTAAACCACAATTCAAAGAATCATTGATTAATGAGTTTCTTGCCTTTCATTTTTTTTAATAAGTGTAAATTTTTCAGGGACGTGCTTATTACAGAAGGTAAAAAGATAATCAGCATAAGTACCAGAACAGCCAGAGACGTTATCATTCATCTGAAGCTTTCTCTGATGAAGAGAGAAGTGAATCACAGCTTGCTGGCAGGTTCTGCAGCTGCCTGCCGGCAAGAGAAGAATGTGGAGGCTGAGGACACCCTGCCTTCTGCCTAAGTCCTCACCCCAGCCATAAACCCCGACCCTAGGTTTGTTTTCACTCCTCATCTGCCTCCACCTTCTGTCCTGATCTCTTCATATTACCAAAAGTTTCATGAATGTAAAAAATTCCACTGGCTTCACTCTGGCTTCCTTTGTGACCCCACCCGGAGCTAGAGGCCTGTTTACAGAACCACCCAAATTACAGCAACACTTAAAAAAAAACCAAAAACATAACCCAAAATCTCAGTATTTTTTAATTCTAGCTCAACTGCTGGCAGAACAAAGGGCAGGACTTGCATGTTAGCTGTCCCATCATCACAGGCAGACCTCTGTAATAAAGCAGAGCTGCTGTCAGCTGCCACCGGCAAGCCTGCATGCCTTGCCTTGGCACATTGGGCTGCTTGTGTTTCCTTGATAGCTATGAGGTCCTGGTGCTTGCGGGACACGAAGCGTAGGTGAGAGGTGATCCTGGCTCCGTGCCACTAACAGGTTGGACTGCTGTCACATTTTCAGCTTCGCTCTTAACTTTCTTCAGCCACTTTCCTGGCTGATAAGTGATAATAAATCACTTACCTGATAAAGCCACCTCAAGGATTTTCAGACATCAGCACCCTCAGACACTGAGTACAAACTGATGTGATTCAGTCATGTGCCCTTTCTTCATCATTTGTTTTCTAGATCATTAGAGTAGGTCTGAATCCCATTTAGAGGTTCTTTTAAGGAAATCCAGGAATATGAAATGCACTCAAAACCAGCAATGAGCTGATTGCAGTGATGTGGGGATTGGCTTCCTCTCCCAGCGATGAGAGGGAATGTTGCAGCAGAGGAGGCTCAGGGTGGGTGTTAGGAAACGTTTCTGCTCAGAACGACTGGTGAGGCGTTGGAACAGGCTGCCCAGGGAGGTGTGCAGGCATCGTCCCTCAAGAACCGTGCGGATGTGGCACTGAGGGACGTGGTCAGCGGGCACGGTGGCATGGGCTGATGGTTGGACTGGATGAACTTCACAAGTCTCCAACTGTAACGATTCTACGGTTCTAAGCACAGTTCCGCGTGTAACGAACCAGCTCCAGGAGAGGGCGTTCACAAGCCCACATCCAGCCCCACCGGGGCGAAACGTAACCTCCACACCCCGACACTGCACCTCCCCGCGCCCCACCCTCAGGGCGGCCGTTAGCCCGCCGCTGCTTCCCGCCTCCTGCCCGGCGGATCGCAGCACGCATGCGCTCTCGGTCGCTGCCCCTCGGCCGCTGGAGGCGCTGTCTGCTGCCCGTGCGGGGCTGGATGAGGCGGGGGCGGGTCCGCGAGCGTGATGGCGGCTGCGGCAGCGGCAGCGGCGGCCGGGGGAGGTGGGGAGCGGAGCAGCACCCGGGAACGGCTGCTGGCGGCGCTGGAGGATCTCGAACTCCTGGCCAGGTAGTCGATGGGATGGCCGCCGCTCGGTACCGAGCCGCCGGCGGGGACGTCGAGCGAGGGCCCGGGGATTGGGGCCGAGAGGAGAACGGCGGCCTGGGGCCGAGGGCGCGCGTGGGGTGCAGCCGCCCGCAGGCTGAGGGTGGGGAGCCCGGCTGCAGCGGGGGGCTGCGAGAGCTGCGGCGGTGCTTCTTGTGCTCGGAGCTTTGTTCCTCGCTGCCCGCTGTGCCGGCTGCTCTCTGTGCTGTCTGTCTCCCGAACGGCTCGTGGGCCTCGTATTACTCACTGCCAAACTGCCGTGTGGCTCACTGACTGCCTCAGGTAGGGCACAGAAAACAAGCGCAGCTGTTGCTCTTCTCGTGTCCGTTTAGATTTTAGGTGGTTTATTTTTTTTTTCTTTTTTCTTTTTCTTATTTTTCCTTTTCATTTTGGATCTGATAGTCTACCATTAGAGGTAACGGCCTCAAGTTGTTCCAGGGGAGGTTCAGATTGAATATTAGGAAGAATTTCTTCCCAGAAACAGTGGTGATGCATTGGAACAGGCTGCCCAGGGAGGTGGTGGAGTCACCCATCCCTGCATTTGTTCAGGAACTGTGTGGATGTGACACTGAGGGACATGGATAGTGGGCATGGTGGGAATGGGCTGATGGTTGGACTGGATATACTTACAGGTCTTTTCCTGGACCAGGACCTGGTGTCCTGATGGACGACAGGTTGGCCATGAGCCAGCAGTGTGCCCTTGTGACCAAAAAGGCCAGTGGCATTCTGGGGTGCATTAAAATGAGCGTGGCCAGCTGGTCAGAGGGAGGTGATCCTCCCCCTCTACTCTGCCCTGGTAAGGCCTCATCTGGAGCACTGCGTCCAGTTCTGGGCTCCCCGGCACAGAAAAGACAGGGATCTCTTGGAAAGAGTCCAGCGGAGGGCCACAAAGATGGTGAAGGGTCTGGAGCATCTCCCCTGTGAAGAAAGGCCAAGTGAACTGGGTCTGTTCAGCCTTGAGAAAAGAAGACTGAGGGGGGACCTGATCCAGGTCTACAGATATCTAAGGTGTGGGGGGCAGAGTGGTGAGGCCAGACTGTTTTCAGCAGTGTGTGGAGACAGGACAAGGGGAAACGGCTGGAAAATGCAGCATAGGAAGTTCCACACAAATGTGTGCAAGAACTTCTTTACGGTGAGGGTGATGGAGCACTGGAACAGGCTGCCCAGGGAGGTGGTGGAGTCTCCTTCTCTGGAGATGTTCAAGACCTGCCTGGATGCCTACCTGTGCAACCTGGTGTAGGGAACCTGCTTTGGCAGGGGGGTTGGACTCGATGATCTCTGGAGGTCCCTTCCAGCCCCTACAATTCTGTGATTCTACAATAGTGAACCCAAAGCACGTCAGCTATATGTTAGTGATCAGCAGTACCATGGAGCTGGGCCTTTCATGATCAATGTAACTGGCTTGGGTGGTAGGGGACACGTGGTCTGTAACATGTCTAACCTGTGTCCCTTGTGCTAACACAGGGCCAAATTACAGCCCTCCCCAACATGAGTCTCAGTGGTGTTAGCTGACCTACTTACAGCAGATAGTTTGCTAGTGATCAGTGTTGGTCAGGTATGGCAATATTTCAGTAATAGCAAGTTTCAGTATTCACTAATAGCTTTGAATTATTTTAGTCACAGAAAATGTTATTAAGGTTGGAAAGAACTCTAGGATTGACATGCGAAATCAAACTCTGTAGCCCAAGTAAGATTGCAAAGCAGGTATGATTTACTCAGTGCTGCACAGACACCGGGTGCAGGGGGGATAGATCCACCTAACTTGCACACCATCAAGAAAAATAGTGCTACAGGTATAGGCCCAACTAATACATAATCAGTAGTTTCCCTGGAATTCGGATACATATTCATTATACCCCTGAGAGTTCATTAGCATGCAGACCCTCCCCTCTTGTGCATGCGTAGGAGGTCGTGGGATGAAGATTTGTTGTCAGAAACCTTCGCAAGGAATGCCTTTCTCGCTGTAAACTGCTGGCATTTGGGGGGGCATCCCCCCAACCTTGTTTCTTCTTGCCCTCTGGACATCTAATCACCTCCCTGCCAAATGTCCTCGGGCTGTTCTCAAACCTTATCAGTATGGCCTTCATCCCCCTCGCTATCTCAGACCCGGTGTCTGCCATCCCTTATTTTCTAACAAGCTCTACATTCTTGCTTCTGTAAACTATAATTATTCCCCTTCACCCCCCTTATTCTCAGTCACTGTGAAGCCTTCTTGCCTTTTACTTGCACTTATGGGTCTCTTCTCTCCATTCAGGATCATCTAGTCCAACCATCACCCCATCCCTACCATACCCACTAACCACGTCCCTCAGTGCCACAGCTGTATGTTTCTGGAGCACCTTCAGGGATGGTGACTTCATTGCTCCCATGTTTCAAGATGCTGTTTATAGCTTTACTGATCAGGGGCTTTTTCAAGCTTTTAGAAAAGAACCTGTTGTTGTTCTAAGGTTCTGGCTCCACTACTGTATTAGTGGACATCTCTCTTGAGCTGCTTGCACCAGACTAAAGAGCGTGCCAGTACCATTCCAAGGACCCTACTTTGGGTAAGTGGTTAGTCATGTGCAGCACTGAACTTATGTTAATAGCCTGAAAAACCAAACATGTTTGCCAAATTTATAGAAAAAAAAAAAAAAAGATATGGCCTTTTTGCTGCATGGTCTTATTTAGGGAGTTTCATTTGAGGTTCTTGATGGCTCTACGTGATGGTGGAAAACTAAATGTGTACTTGGAAGCAAGATCAAGAGGTTTGTTTGAGAAGCTCTTCTAACCTACCCCCAGAATATTAGTTTTTCAGTATTCATGTTGTTCAGTGCACAGCTGATACACCATTGTGAAAATACTTGCTTTTATAGAAGTGGTCTTACAACAAACTCCAGGTATGTGAACACATAGACTTAACTACTGTAAACTGAGTGTGAAATTTGCTCTGTAGTAAATAAAAAGAAAAATAAAAAAAAAAATATGGAGCAATAGAGAACAAAAATAATGTAGTCAATTCGACTTTCATCCTCTCATGGAACAAAGGGGGTTAGAAACAGGATACAAATGCATTTAATTGTGCTGTTTGCTCTCAGTTTCAGCTTGTGCCTAATGTAGTTGGACAAGAACTTAGCTCTTTTTAAGTACAAATACACATGAGCACTTCATGAGCTCAAAGAACTAAAATGAAATCATGCTGCAGTCATGAAACTGTTTACAGAATTGTAGTTGTGAAATCCCTGTCAACACTATTACATAAAACTGTAAAATACTCGAGTACATGAATGCTTTAATGATATAAATACTCAGTTGGGGAAGATGTGATGTGATTTACAAATAATAGCTTAGAAAGTTGCATAAATAGTGTTTTCCTTTCAGGGAACTAATTGAAATTTTGGCAATTTCAAGAAACCAGAAGCTTCCACAACCAGGAGAAGAGAGCCAGGTAAACTGACTTTCTTAGTTGTCATTCTTTGTGCAGATAAACACTATGTCTTCTTACTTTCTCCCTTTGTACTTGGACTAATGATGATGGTGAAGCTTTGGCATCACTGAAAAAGCATTCTTGGTTTCATGTTTTTGATTGCTTGTTCATTGGTTTCTTGCTTCATAGGCTGTTTCTGCAAGCTGAGCAAGAATTAATACTCTTGTGGGTATCAGTTGCTTTTTGCAGTGTGATGCTACTTGCAGTGTGTTGTTACTTGAGCTAATTAAAAGTTCTACAAAACTCTTGCCCAACAGATCCTGGAGCTGCTGATTCAGAGAGATGGAGAGTTTCAAGAGCTAATGAAGTTGGCAGTTGATCAGGGGAAAATCCATCATGAAATGCAGCTTTTAGAAAAGGTAGTAGAAAAGAGAGATAATGACATTCAGCAGCTGCAGAAGCAACTGAAAGAAGCAGAGCACATACTGGTAAGTTCACGAGGATATCTTTGCTTCTGAGCATCTGCTCAGAAGGGGCAGGGGGAACAGAAAGTCCCCCTCTCAGAGTTTTGTGTCAGTGAAGATTTAAATGTTTAAAACTTTGTGAGAGCTTTAGTGTTGGTTGATTTGTTGTCTTTTTTTTTTTTTTTTCCCCAGTAACACTACTTCTTTATTGTGGCGTTCAGTTACTTTGTATTGATAATTTTCTTCAAAATCTACTTTGTTTCTGTGTATTTTGAAGAGTCCCCTGAACAGTTTCTCTCTTAAAACGCAGTTACATGCAAGGGTTTCTTCACAGAGGACTTAAGACAGAAGGATACAAATGAAGGATGTACTGAAGTTTTGGCTTAGTGTTGTTTCTTTTCTTCCCACAATTAGGCCACAGCTGTTTATCAAGCAAAGGAAAAACTGAAATCAATTGAAAAGGCAAGGAAAGGTGAGTTATCCATGATTGTACGTAATATACAAACAGTTGTAAAGAATGTTGCAAGTGAACTCAAGTTAGTAATTTCTTCTTAAGGTTGTCATCACAGATTTCAGATGCTTTGTGTGTAAACAGATTTTGACTTCGTTACGAATTTGTCAACCATTTCAACAGATGAAAGATGGAGCATGGGGATTTTTCTTTTCTTTTTTTTTTAGGAATAACTTTTTTTTCTTTTGTGGCAGACATGTCTTTAGTATTAGACTTGAATTCAAGTTTTTGGATGCTCTTCTTGGACCACAAACAGTCTATCTGGTTACCTAAATGTCTCACAAAAGCAGATCATTTCATTGTGACTACGTGGAAGAGTTTTTGTGTGCATGTATATTATAGCATTGTTTATAAAAGACTTCTTAGCTGGTGATACTTGTTTGTATTTGTATCAAATGCTGCTATGCTGTGGCAATTGCCAAGCTAAACTTGATTTTTTCGTTTCTTTTATTTTTTGGTAGGTGGCATTTTTAAGTCGTTTATAGTATTTTTTGCCATACTTCCTTCTAAACAAATCAAGAAATTTCATAATGATTCTAGTAACTCTAATACAGGTGTATTTATTGGAGGAAGGGCTACTACAGGTACCTGGTAGGTAATACAGTTACAAAAAAGGAAGATTGTAATTACTGCCAAAGTTCTGTACTAGAAATGCTGAAGTTTTCTTAAAAAAATATGCTTGTCAAGTGCACTGTGAAAGATACTGGTTTGTGTTTCTTCAAAAGGTTAAAGAGCTGTTAACACTGAAGGCATACTGAACTTGTGGCTGTAAAGTGAGTTCACTGTGATGCTTGTTCTGTATCGTCCAAGCAGTCTGTGAGCAGTCACTGCACTTGAAGCATGCTCTTGGTGTTTGACAGAATGACATTCCTCGTGTTTTCAGTTTGAAAAACAGTCCAGTCAAATGATGCAGTCTCTTAAGTATGGTAACTTTTCTTCCTTCTTTCAGGTGCCATTTCATCTGAAGAAATAATTAAATATGCCCACAGGATCAGTGCTAGTAATGCTGTTTGTGCCCCTCTGACGTGGGTACCAGGTAAATATCATGTGTATGACTATTCTTATGACTGCTCTTTTTCTTGAATAAAAAAGCACAGCCAGTATCTGGTTTTAAAATGGTTTCACATAATGAAGCACAGTTTGGTTTATTAAAGATATGTAATGTTTATAGCTGTTACATCTAGCATTTCCAAGAAAACTTCATGTGCACCTGCAGAACTCTATGAAACTGCAGACCTCTGTTAACTGATTGATCTTCTCTCATTAGTTTACTTTTCTTGTTCCTGATTATTGATCCCAATTAAAAGGCAGAAGTGTGATGAAGACTTCTGTGTGTTTGTGTCCCTTCACTGCACATATTACATAGGATGTATGTACATAGGATTTTAATAACCTATGATTTTGGTTACAATGAAAGCCCTAGATCTGACCCCATTGATTGTGTTATGATTGTTTTGGGAACTATCTTTCTTATCCAAAATTAAAATGGAGGATTTTGTTTTTTCTCAGTACTTATCATAGAATGATTTGGGTTGTAAGGGACCTTAAAAGCCATGCAGTTTCAATCCCTCTGCAGGGACAGCTTCCACTAGACAAGGTTGCCCAAAGCCCATCCGACCCAACCTTCAGCACTTCCAAGGATGGGGCTTCTACAGCCTCTCTGGGCAACCTATTCCATTGCCTCACCACCTTCATAGTGAAAAATGTCTTGCTTATATCTAATGTAAATCTACTTTTATGTCTAATTCGGTTTATATCTAATCCCAGTCTATCACTACATGCCCTTGTAAAAAGGCTCACTCTCCATCTTTTTTATAAGCCCTCCTTAAGTATTGAAAGCTTGTAATTAGGTCTCCCCAGAGCCTCTCTTGAGTCTAAACAACCTCCCCTATCTCAGCCCCTCTTCATAGGAGAGATGCTCCAGCCCCCTGACAATCCCTGTGGCTCTCCTTTACACCTGCTCCAACAGCACCTTGGCTATTTTTCTTAATGCTGAGGGCCCTAGAGCTGAACACAGTACTTAAGCTGGAGTCTCATAAAAGTAGAGAATAGAGGGAGAACCATCTCCTTCAGTCTTCTGGCCACGCTGCTTATGATGCAGCTCAGTATATGATTGGCTTTCTGGGCTGCAACCATGTGCTGGCAGCTCACGTCCAATTTTTTATCTGTGTGTATCCCCAAGTCCTTCTCCACAGGATTGCTTTCAGCCCATTCATCCCCCGTCCTTATTATTTAGCTGTCAAGTAGCAGAGGGAGCAAAGATGTTCTGAACATCATACATTATCATAATGTAATTTTTATGATAAGTAGGAATGAGCAAGGAAAGTCTCCAGTTCTAATAGAATAGGGGTAATGCTCATTTTGATCCAGACAGGAAACCAGACACAGAAGAAAAAAAAGATAATATTTCCTAATTATTATCACTATTATTATTAATAGGGGACCCACGCAGGCCATATCCTACAGATCTAGAAATGAGGAGTGGTCTCCTGGGTCAGATGAACAACCCATCCACTAATGGGGTTAATGGACACTTACCTGGGGATGCACTTGCAGCAGGCAGATTGCCAGGTAAGAGAAGTTCAACTTTTTTCTTTTTTTTTTAACTGTTCTTATTCTTTGTATAGTCAGAGTAATCACAAATGTTTCTCAGCAATGGGAAATGAGAATTAAAAGAATGAAAATTATGGCCAATGTTGTTCCCAGCAGTGAAGGACCAGTCAGTAAAGTTATTTTCTGTTAACTATTTTTTATTTGTTTGTTTCATGCTAAATGATACTGTAAACACTAGAACAAAGTAAATATGAAGAAAACTCACTTAGCTACCCAACAGTTAATTTATTTTAAAATTCTGTAAGCTGATTGATATTAAATCATATAAAAAAGTGTTTCCAAAGCAAACTCTTCTTGGGAGCTACAACAATGGAATTGTGAATGCTGTATTCAGAAGAAAAGAGATTTATTGTCTTCTCCTACTCTCCTTTAAGTTCAGGACTGAAAAGATATTTGCAAGGACTGATGGAAAGGTGGTGCCTCTAGTGTAGGTCTTCTTAAAGCAAGTGTAGAACCAGTATAAAGGCTGCATTGTGTCCTCACATCTGGTGGTGAGTTGGATTCATGCAACTAGCTAATGCAGTAATGTGCTCATCTGGTATTAGGGCATTGTGGCTGTAGTTCCATAAAGTCTCAGTCTACCCTCTTCCAATTTAAAGCCATTTCCCCTCATCCTGTTGCTCCATGCCCTTATAAGAAGTCCCTCCCCAGCTTTCTTATAGTCTCCCCTCAGGTACTGGAAGGCTGCTATGAGCTCCCCTCAGAGCCTTCTCTTCTCCAGGCTCAGCAGCCCCAGTCTGTCCTCGTAGAGGAGGTGCTCCAGCTCTCTCATCATCTTCATGGCCCTCCTCTGGACCTGCTCCAACAACTCCCTTTCTCTTGTGTTTGGGGCTCCAGAATGGACGCAGTATTCCAGCTGGGCTCTCATGAGAGCAGAGTAGAGGGGCAGTCTGTTGGTCATGCTTTTCTTGGTGCAACTCAGGGTATTGTTGGTCTTTTTTGCTGCAAGAGTGCATTTCCAGCTCATGTTGAATCTTGCATCAATCACCACCCCCAAATCCTTTTCCTCAGGGCTGATCTCAAGCCATTCTCCGCCCAGCCTCTATCTGTAGCAGTAGAGATCAGTAGGAAAGGAGCAGAAATGACATTAAGGATGTATGCTGCAGCTTTGAAGTGGGAGGTGTTTTGAGGGCAAAGAGGAAAGAGACCTAGGAAGTGTTGTGGACAGAGGAGTTCCCTTGTAGGTTCATGAGAAATACGCACTGGGAGGGCTTTGGAAGTAAGAGATGAGGAGAAATAGATTTGAGAGAAGTTGGAGGCTGCTGGGGTTGGTCTGCTGGTGCACTGTGAGGCATTCCCATCTCCCACATACATCTGCTCATGGGCCTTGTTTTGTAGTGGGACTGTCTTCTCCTTTGCATTTGGTGTATCATATTTGCTCTTTGGAAAAGGATAACCAAGGTGTTTCTGCCTAGTTCAGACTAAACTTAAATCTGAATTCCTGTGTTTACCTTACTTATTCTTTTTTGATGTAATGTTTTCATCTCCTTTTGCATAGTGACTGAGAGTGACCATTTTCGTAACTGGTTTTGTGTTAAGTCAGTTCATGTAGAGCTTTTCATCTTCAAAACACAGTTTGAATGTACATTGTTCTGAAATTTAATTTTTCTTTTGATGAGGGATTAAGCCACCTACATAAACAGGCCTCTGGCAGAATAGGCTTTTACAGTGATAGAACGACTCCATCACAAGATGTTTTTAGCTGTCCAAAAGCCAGTAATGTTTTTAAGATTTGCTTTAATTTTACACTGTTGTTTGAACTCCCTTATTCAGTTTGTGGACATACAAAACTGATAGCTTGATTATGCCCCTTTTTTCCAGATGTGCTTGCTCCTCAGTATCCTTGGCAATCAAGTGATATGTCAATGAACATGCTACCTCCTAATCATAGTAATGACTTCATGTTGGAGCCTCCGGGACACAATAAAGAGAATGAAGATGATGTGGAAGTGATGTCAACAGACTCCTCAAGCAGCAGCAGTGACTCAGACTAGGTACAGGAGGGACGGTATCCCTAGTAGACCTTTCCTGTGGTGAAGGTAGGTTGGATGCTGTTAATCACAGTCCCTTTTATTATGCTGGCAGCCCTTTGCAGGGAGAAGATACAGCCAGCTCAAAAATAAGAGTGGCTAATTTCAAACCATGAACTTACAATTGATATATATATTTTTTTCCCATTAGATATTCAACTGAAATGACTGGGAGCTTTCTGCTGGATGGGAGATGTCAGATTTCCAGTGCTGATGTAAATGTGTGAATGTGTATGTTTGCAAGAGATGCGTGCATTTGTATACATATATATATATATACACTATACATATTAGATGACAACGTTCCTGGGACAAAAGGTGTAAGGGGAATCCCCTTGTATGTATGCTAGTAACTTGACTCTTTTGAAGACAGTCTTTTCTATGGCACAGAAATAAGGCGTAAGATTTGTAATTTTAATACCTTTTTTGTTACTGCTGAAATGCATGTTGTTAATCACCTAGTGTGTTCTGAGAACAAAACCATGGCAATAAGGTGTTTAAAAAAAAAAAGTTTGTAATTATTGTAATATATAATAAACCTTTGCAACTTTGCTACACTTTGCAAACATAAGTCTTAGGTTTGTTGTGTGAGTTCATTAGTCAGCGCATTTCATCTGTGTGTGTTTGATTTCTGATTAAGTTTCAGAAGTTTGTGCTCCTTTTATTGGGATGTGTAATCACAGAACAGCCAGAGTTGGAAGGAACTTCAAGGATCACAAATCTCCAACCCCCTGCCACAGCCAGGGCCACCAACCCCCACATTTAATACAGGACCAGGCTGCCCAGGGCCCCATCCAACCTGGCCTTGAACACCTCCAGGGACGGGGCATCCACAACCTCTCTGGGCAGCCTGTGCCAGCACCTCACCACTCTCTCTGTAAAGAACTTCCCCTTGACATCCAACCTAAGTCTTCCCTCCCTCAACTTAAAACCATTTCCCCTTGTCCTGCTGCTATTTACCATTGTAAAGAGTTGACTCCCCTCCTGTTTACACGCTCCCTTTAGGTACTGAAAGGCTACAGTGAGGCCACCCTGCAGCCTTCTTTTCTCCAGGCTTTTTCCCTTTGCAGTGTCAGTATTGGAAGCAGCTGAGCAGCCAGCAGCTGCAAGTCTGTTCTTTTCAGCTGAGCCTATCAGGTACCCGCAACTGCAGACCCTGAAGCAGTGATGTAGAATGCCTACTTGCCAGACACCACAGATATTTTGGTCAGGTATCCCAGGGCCATGGATGCTTTGGAGCATACTGCAGATTCAGCTCTTTTCAGTTCAAAAGGAGCTCACTTATTGTTTAGTCTTTGTCACCTATAATTTTTTTCAGTTCTTTGAACCTGTTCATTTGTTTGCTCCAGCAATTGCATTTTTACCTCTGCTGTAAGTGTTCTTTCATCTTTCCAAAGTTATTTCTCTTGGCTTTCTTTGCTCTGTTTTGCTTAGGGTGTCATATGATGACAGCTACTCTTTTATTTTTGCAATTTGATCAGGTTACTCATGCAAACTGTTACTTGTACCAGTTACAGGTTTCTGCCTTGCCTTACTGTTAAGGCTACCTGAAACAGAGATCAAAGTTCTCTCAACTTTTGCATATTCTGTGCAGGAAATAGCTGTTAAATCAAGAATCGTTCCTCATTGTTCAGGCAGGCCTTCAGCAGTGACAGTAATGATACCATATGACCTATATATATATGAGTCCCATAGGGATACAGGAATGAAAATCACCTTTTCAGTTAGGTTCAAGCACTTTAAGGGAATATGGGCAATTTGGTTTTGTCTCAGCTATCACTTTTGGAAGTATTTTCACTTCCTAAGATTTTTTAACCTCTGTTTCACAGTTACAAGTAATTCTTATTCATAGGTATTTTAATCTTTATGCTAGGATGCATGTAGCAGGGGGGGTTGAAGCCAGATGATCAGTGTGGTCCTTTTCAACCCAGGCCATTCTATGGTTTTATGATTTGGATCAACATAAATTAACCATCCTAACAAATAATGTACCCCAAAGTCTTACGTGGCAATATCATATGATTCACTCATTTAAATAACTGAGAAGGTGGGTGGTTATTTCCAGATATAAATAAAAAAGGAACAGAAGGCAGAGTTTTGTGAAATAACCACTTACTTTCCTGGGTTGTTTAGTGGCATGTTAAGGGATTAAAAGGTACCCCTAAGTTACCTGTTTCATGTATTTAAGAAGTACAGTTCACTTTGCTGCTCTAGTGCATAAAATCAGACTTGGCACATAAGATGCATCCTAGGTAAAGTTTCATTGCGTAAATTCTTTGAGCTATCTGTTAGGAAAGTTTTTTTTCTGATTTGTATGTCAAGATGCTAGCTACTATAAGCAATTTAACATAAACTTGCAAAGGTTTAACTGTATGTTCTGTTATTCAGTTGCTTAGATGTATACAGAATGCATTTTCCTACTTAATTTTATATTTAATTTGATCCTTGTATTTCTGCTCAGTTGAAAATAAGAACTAAAAATGATTGAGCATCAAATATTGGGAGTGCTAGGGGGTGCCCTGTGTAAGAAATAGAAATGCAAGGTGCATTTAGAGCAAGTGAATTTAGAGATTGCTGATAGCTGATTGCAGTAATGCACTGTCATTTAATCAATCCACTTGGGAAGAGAATGGTAACCCTGACATATGGTGATGCTGTGTCCTCATTTCAGTAGCTACTAGTCTACTTGCAACAGATGGAGTGAATATAACCATTAAGTGTAACTGCAATTATTGCACTACAAACCATTGTATGCTGACTTGGGTTTTCCCATCAATGCTTAGATGCCTTCCGATATTTAAAAGACCACTAAGTTGTTTGAATTACTAAATATTTTTAATTATTCATTGAGGCAGATGGGCTGGACATCTGTCAATTCTTTCTACAACCACTTTGTTGACAGCTGAATGGAGCAATTATTAGTAAATGTGAAGTTGCTTTTGGGAAGAAAATCTCCACTTGTGAATAGAAAAATAGGTTTCATACAAAGGTAGAGCAGTAAAGGAATTTTCATTGGCATCTTCAATTTCAAAACTGCTTTTTAACAAATCTTTCTTCATAGAAAATCTGTCATAAGGGAAGCTGCACATAGAATTTGGAGCAGTAACTGTCCAGGAGACATCTTTGTGCCTTTTATCATCTTCCTGCTTCACATCAAAAAGAAACTCCTCCATTAAAGAATGTTGCTATGCAAAGTCGGGAAGAGCTTTAAGCTATTCAATCTCATGTAGGAATTGCCAAGTCAGTGCATAATTTCAGACAATTTTAATCTTCCTCTATTGTGCTGCTTTTATTTAAAGAAAATAAACACATCTCAGGTAATTTTCTACAATGGATATAGTTACAAAACAAACAGATGTATTACAAAATAACCCTGTAGAGAAAAAAAAAAATAAGGCAGTTATGTAATTTGTTGAAGTCACAATCTGTCCCTATCCAAAAATTAATGGTTAAAATCCAGCCTGGTTTACAGTTAATATCTACAGCCCGGAAAGAGCCAACTTTGGTTACAGTTGCTATAAAAATGACAAACCCATCATTTTTGTACATATGTTCTGTGATCTCATTTGCTACCAATTCAATTATTGGGTCACCCCATGCAGAAAATTAAGATGTTAATCAAGTCCTAGTAGCTGTAAAGGATGACACCTATCTGTGCTGTTTCATACTGACAGCCCTCCTAAGCCAGAAAGTGCAGCTGCCTGACACAGCTACACATCTATAAATGAGTTTGTTTCTTCACTGTGTTCTGTCAGCCTAGCAGAAGACTGTAGGTGCTTTGACATTCACCTCTTAGGGTTCAATAACATGGTCAGAAATGATAATCAACTGAGGTCTGAAATTCTTCTGTAAACAAGTTCTACTGCCAACAGAAGGTAGGTGAAAGGGGGTGGAAAAAAGGGTCAGAGAATTTTCATTCTCTGCAGCATTCTTTTACTGTTTATAATACTGGTTTCCAAGTATAGTGTAGGAGAACATGACATTCTGTGGAAAACTGGACTTTTGTTTCATAGAGCTGCTGAAAGCATCTTAACTGGACCTATGAAACAAGGCTAAGTTTAAAGATTGGTCCAAAATCATAGACACATAGAATGGCTTGGGTTGGAAGGGAGCTCAGAGATCATCAAGATCCAACCCCCCTGCTGTAGGCAGGGCTGCTCATCTCCACATTTAACACTAGACCAGGTTAGATGTATACTTGAAGAAAGCAGCATGATATACAAAACAGCTTTATGAATAAGCCAGGACCGTTGCTTAAACAAATCGTTTTCCTTTGGGCATGCTGTTACAGCTGTTTCCAAGTGAGTTTCTCATTCACTTCCACAGGGCATCTCATCTGTATAAAGATTCCCCAGATAAAACAGTATGCCTAAAGGAAAACATTAATCATTAACAGCTACAGAAGATGTTTGCAGTTGCTTGGAAGGCAGCCCTGTGTACCTCCTGGATGCACGACAACTCAAGTGAAAGCACTGCAGCATGTGACATCTTGGTAACTGCAGTTCAGACATGGGCAAAGCCAGCACCACACATCGTTTTGATTTCTGCACCACAGGTCCTTCGGGCTGTCACACCACCAGGCTTCATGCCAGCTGATGGCTCCCTGTGTACCCCTTCAGGTGATCCAGGTCTTCCGTAAAAGGGTTGTAGCCTTGCTCCCTCAGGCACCGCAGGCCCCAGAAGAGTTGCTCTGCTGGAGGAAACTCATCCCATTTAACCCATTCCCAACCTGAAAAAATAAAAAATAAACATTGTGACCGTAACACCTCTCCAAATCTGTACAGATCCTTCTCGCACAGAAGCTGCCTACGCCGTACTCACGCTCAACGCGCAGCGCTGCAGCCCCGCCCCTCCCGCCCTCACCCTCGTTCTTGTCGGGCTCGCAGTTGCGCGGCTCCTCCCCCGGCTCGGCCTCGCCCTTCATGAGGACGGTGACGTAATGGTAGCGCGCGGCGGCGCACACGGAGTTGACGGCCGAAGCGAAGCGCAAGTTGCGCAGGCGCAGCGCCGCCTCCTCCAGCGTCTCTCTAGCGGCGCACTCCGCCAGGCTCTCCCTGCGGGCGGACCGGGCGCGTCAGGAGGGCTGCGGTCCCACGGCGGGCGGCCGGCTGTCCGCGCCGCCCGGGGGGCCGGGGCTCCTACCCGAACTCCAGGTGGCCTCCGGGGAGCTGGTACGTGCCGGCTCCCATTGAGCCTTTCCTCCTGCCCAGCAGGACGCAGTTGGGGTGCGCGGGGCTGGTAACCACCACCCCTACGCCGATCCCGGGGCGCTGGGGCCGCGTCGCTTCGCCCATGGCAGCCGCGAGCTGTGCGCTACGGTGCCTCCGCTCCCGGGACGGCTGTGGGAGTGCGGCGGCTGCGCATGCGCGTAGCGGCGTCTCGTGGAGAGGCGTGGCCTCGCTTCAGCCGCTCTTCCCGCCCGCTGCCGGGGGGGGAGCGCTCACAGGCCGAAGGGCGTTGTGAGGTTCATAGCAGTATTAGCACGGCAGCCTTCACTCGTGTGGAAAGCAGCGAGTTAACCACGCGAGCAAACGAAGGCTGGCTTCAAACAGGAACGTCCCACCTAGGTACGGCTCCGTGCCATGGGATACAGAGTTCCAGTTGATCTACAGATCTGCTTGGAGTGGAGTAGTTCTTACTGTGTCAGCTCGTGGTTTCAGCTAGGCGAAATCACTTAGAAATCATTCAAAAGAAAACCCGCAAGCACAGTTATGCATAAATCAGGAGATGGAATGGCAATTCTTCAGGGATAAAATGGAAAAACAAATGAAAATCTGTGTTAACAAGCATTTTTCCTCATTTTTCATGTTTCTTTTAATTATAGAATGACTGGCATTGAAAAAAACTCACATGCTACAGAATCGTAGGGGTTAGAAGGGACCTCTGGAGATCCTCCAGTCCAGCTCCCTGCTAGAACAGGTGCCCTGTATCAGGTCACACAGGAAGGTGTCCATGTGGGTTTGGAGCATGACTGGAGAAGGAGGTCCCACAGCTCTCTGGACAGCCTGTTCTAGTGCTTTGTAAGTTCAAAGTAAAACACCTGACTATGTTTGTATGGAACTTCCAATGTGCCAGTTTGTGCCCATTGCCCCTTGTCCTGTTGGTAGGAACCAAGGAAAAGAGCCTGGCCCCATCCACTTGACTACCATCCGTTAGATATTTAGCATATTAAGCACTGATAAGATTCCCTCTCAGTCTTTTCCAGTCTACCAGGTCTATCAGCCTCTCTTGTAAGGAAGATGCTCCAGGTCCTTAATCATGTTTGTAGCCCTCTGCTGGAGTCTTTCTGTAAGTTCCCTGTCCTTGAACGGAGAGCCCAGACGTGGCCTCAGCACAGCAGAGTAGAGTGCGAGGGTGGCTTTTCTCAACCTGCTGACCACGTCCTTTTCAATGCACCCCAGGATACCGTTGGTCTTCTTGACCACCAGGGCACACTGCTGGCTCGTGTATTCCATATAAATTACTAAAGTTTGTCAGTGGCCATGATTTTCCTTTTCACCGGCCCACTGATCACAAAAAGGATGTGAAGTATTATTCCTTTTCAGGACTTCAAAATAGTATTTTGTCCTGTTTGAAAATGTACCTTTATACAGGTGTTTTTATTCACTTACAAAGGTCACTTGGCCAAGTTGGCTGCCTATTGATCTCTGCTTTTTGTGGGATTTGTTTTCTGATGTTGGGTTGCTCGAACTGACTCCATATGGCCTCAGATGACCCCTGATGTTGGTATGCAGAAGTGTCAGAGTGTGTGTTGGAGGCAGAGCTGCCCTTTGAAACTAGTTGTCTGTTTTTATCTGTAATGTCAGCCCACACCCTGAGTTACTGATATCAGTATGTTAAAAAAAAAAATATCTCAGGCAAAATCCCAGGCATTCTGTGATCCTAATTCATTTATTTCTGTCCGTGTCTTCCAGTATAGGCATAGTAATCTTCAGATTAAACATTGGTCAGTTATGCCATTTCTGTATTGAAAAGATGATAATGATTTTAAATTTTACCAAAGACTACTCATCATCAGCAGCAATGAAAACATTCTTCTTTGTGTTAAATGTAAATCATTTTCCTGTATCTTCCATCAAACAGCGTTTACAAAGAAGACTGAGGACTGCCTGCTCTCATTCAACTCATACTGTAAAATGCAAAAAACACTCACGTGGTCGTTATGTTTGTTTCAATGGTAGCAGGATAACTACCTTTTCTTACAAACATGATTTTTGGGGGAGGCTTTGGAATACATGTGTTTGCCTTTGATTCTTTCAATTTTCTTATGTTTGTGATCGTTAGCAAAGGATGCTGTAAAAATAAAGCACTTCTTTTCTGACTGACTCTGTTTTAATTACTTTCTTTACAGGACTTATGTAGGTTGTAGATGTGCACTCAGGTTTTGCACAGATCGTTCAAGAAATACTGGCCAGTATTTTTAAGTGTGATGGTGAACAGACATCCAATGAAGAAAAGAGATGAGAACAAATCCAGAATGAAAAAGTGCAATTTCATCTTCTATCATAGTAATAGTAAATATATACATAGTAAAGATTTTCCCCTTCTCTCAATCAGCCATAGACAAACTGGGGAATGAAAGGCTGGAGAGCAGACCCACAGAAAGAATGACAGAATTACACGAGTTTGAAGGGACCTCTGAACATCACTGAGTCCAGCCCTTCGCTAAAGCTTACAGTAGGTTGTACAGGAAAATGTCCAGGCAGGTTTTGAATATCTCCAGAGAAGGAGACTCCACGACCTCTCTTGGCAGCCTATTCCAGTGCTCTGTCATCTTCACAGTAAATAAGTTTTTTTCTCATGTTTGGATACAACTTCCTGTGTTACAGTCTGTGTTCCTGGGTTCCTTCCAACTCAGGGTATTCTATGATTGGTGATATTGCCATACAGAGAGCTGCTTCCCATCTAGCAAAGCAGTGAGAGAACATTGATTTGGGAGCTAAAATGAGTCTTCTGGGGACCTACTTCGCTTGTGCAGTGTTAGGATAACAGGCAGTGAGTGTGTTAGAGCACTAGAGCAGGTTGCTTGCAAAGGCTGTGCAAGCTCTGAAGTTACTGATGAAAACTCAGCTGGACAGAGCCCTGGGTGATCTGCTCAAAGTTAGTATGAAGGGAGTAGAGTGGTTGTAACAGATGGCCATTCCAACCTAAATTATCATCTGATTCTATTCTGGTAGCAGCTAGGATTTCTTCTGATGAATTTATGTATTCCCTATTTGCAAAAACACAGGAAATCAGTAAAAGGTCTGCATTTTTTATGTAAATAACAATTCTACTTGCTAATGTAATGGGAAGGGGTAGCTCCTCACTCTTACCTAAGCAGTTCCTCTGATTTGAAGACTACTCGTCTACTTACAGCTAAGAAGGGATGACAAACCCTGTAAGATCACACAAATGTCTTACGTCCTTTGGGATTTGTCAGGGCTCTAAGCAACCTGATCTAGCTGTAGACATCCCTGTTCATTGCAGGGGATTTGATCTAGATGACCTTTAAAGGCCCCCCTTGAACTCAAACAATTCTGAGATTCTATGATTTGTATTTCTTGAGGAGATAACAGAGAAGTTGAAAGTGTTCTAAGCTATGAATATTAATCCTATCAATTTCTAGCATATCTGCTTTTCTGTATCAAGGGAGAAACTTCAGGAAACAGTTCTGTTAATTATAAGAGATGCAAGAGGGAAAATATAAATTGGATTTGTGGAAAAAAAAAACCTTTCATACTAATTGGTCAAAAGATGAGCATCTTTTCAAGCTTCAGTAAATCCCCTTGCCAGTTGTGCACAGAGCGTTTTAGAGGCTTGCCATTATTATCTGAGTATTTCACCTCACGGTCAGGCATACCTCTGACCTCCAACTCCTCTGACTTAAATGGGCCCACTTACTTTTCCTTGTCAGTTGGAACTGGAGGTAGTTCTGCCTCACAGCTGAGAAATCAGAGCGATGCCCTTGTCGTGTTCAGTATCACCAGGTGAGTTTAAGTCACTTTCAGAACTGAGTATTCAGCCAAAACCTGCTCACACAGCAAAGCCGAGACATGATCTAATAAGCTGTCACCAGCTGACTATAAGAAGTGTCAATGACAAGAGAGTATCTGGTCTCCACGATTCCATTAGAATTCCAGGACTGATATTCTTCATTTCCTTCTCCTCTTAATGTAAAACAGTAGATGCTTTAGGCAAAACGAGCAGAGAAATCAAATGCCTCATTTTTGTTGTTATTGTTGTACCTTCCATTCAGATTCAATCATTAAATTGTTTGATCAAATTGGCGTAAGTGCTGCCATGCTTATAAGAGGAGTCTTGCATGAGGTTGGCAATTGTATCTTCTGGGATGCTGTGCTTTGGAGATTGTAGATAAAACAAGATTCTCCACTAGAGTCCAGTGACAGTAGGACAGATTTTGCTCTTTCTTGTCACAGAAGATCCTTCCAATACACGTCTGAGTACTTCATTGTTCTTATCATTCATTACCTGTGTGAAACATGACAGAGAAGCTGACAGGAGTATCTTCCTACTTAATAGCTTGTCATGCAAGCTGTTAAGATGCAATGTACTTCCATTTGTTAAAAAAAAAAAGTTGCCTTTTGTTTCCCAAATCCATTCTTTTTTTCCCTGTTTACATATGTGACAGACAGTGATGCTTGTGATAGATTCAGATTTCTAACAATACCCCTAATAAGCTTTGGTTTGTTTTCTTACACTTTGAGATTTTAATTTAATTGCCTTTATGTTACTTCTCTGCAATTGCAAATATGCTGTCAAATATGCTGACAATTAGTATTAAACACTTGTCAAACCATTTTTCTTTTCAGTAAATCAGATGTGATATTTTGTATGTCTCCATCTAGGATTTCATAAAATCTACACTGTGCATCTGAATATTAATCAAGGAAAATGAAAAAAGATTCATAGGGGAAAGAAGTTAACTTGGTCTGCCCCCCTGAGCTTATGGGAAGTGGAAGAAAATGAAGGTTGATCTGCTGAGGTTGCTGGTTAGGTCCCATGTGGCCTGGCTCTCTGTCCAGGCTTTGCCTCTAAATTTGGACACTTCCTTTTCTACAGCGGAAGAATCGGATAGCACAAGAGAACTTTTTTGTTAGAAAAATCTGTGGATAAAAAGCAGGAGAATGTTCATAGTAGTGACAGCGTGCCCCTGGCCTGTCACAGGACTTAGTGATTTGATGGAGTGGCCAACAGTGAAACTGTGAAGAATATAGAGCAATGATAATAAATAAAGACTGCAGCCCTGGAGCAAAAATACTGGAATATTCATAAACAACTGCTCTTAATTTTCCAAATGCAGATGGAAAATTCTGTAGAAGTCAGCTTGCT